TATTTGAATTTTTAAGGAAAAAAAAGTCTCCCAGAAATTAATTGTTTACTCTTGTTTGAATAATTTTTAATGAACTAATTTTTTTTTCTTATGTGGGACATCCTGTATGCATCTAACAAATTTTAAATTGTAGCCGTCTGTAACCTACGTATTCCTCCCAAACGAATTTTTTATATCTTTGGTCGTTTTCCCATAAAGCTCCGTCCCGTTATATATATATATATATATATATATATATATATATATATATATATATATATATATATATATATATAATTTTATTAATGAAATAAACCAAATTTAACTTTTTTATGATATGAAAGGACGTTTTTTGTCTCTAGATCAGTTAAATTATTAACTAAAAAAAGTAATAAAATATGGGAATTAAGTTCACACTAGGCACAAGGTAAATAAAATGGACGAGTACTTCCTTGGTATAAAAGTTGCATGTTGAAACTTACGTCATATGATATCTCCACAGAAAAAAAAAATGACAAACCTTGGAGTTGACTAACATTGGAAAAAATTATAGACTAGGAACAATAATTTAACCGAAAAGTATGTGATCATCTTACTCACTTTTAACCTAATTATAATTGTAATATTTGTAGGAAGGATTCAAATACTCGTCCATTTAATTTACCTAAATTACTTATTGTTTAACTAGTGAAAACATACTACATACTAATAAGTTGATTTTTACCCTAAGCCTTAGTGATTGAATTTCTAATGTCGTAAAAAAACTACTTTTCATAAATTAATTAATATCTTACTTTTCTCCACTTTCCAACAGACTGTTATCATTTCTGAACAATTCGTGGCTATTATTTCCTTTCTCACCATTGCTCGATCTAAAAATATAAAAAGAATATATATTTCCTGTAGCAATTTGTTCATATTTAACTTACAGGCTTCCATCTTGAGAGTCATGATGTAAAGCTGTATCCGCTAAGGTGGCCGGCATTTCGGCAATGTCAAAATTGCTTTCATTTTCCCCACTAAAATCAATCAAGATATTTTTTTTTATTTTACTTCAATACCTATTTCTTAATTTCATAAAATGTCAAAAACTTGATAGAACGTGATTAGATTAACCAAATATCACTGGACTATCGTTTGCCATTAATTAATAATAAAAAGAAAACGCATCAAATTTTAATTTTCTTAACACCCTGTATTTCGAAAACAAAGCGACATTCTAAAAATTGTTATAGTACATTTTTGTCTTAAAATTAGGTGAGAATTCTCCTCCTTTCTTTTGTCAGAGATTAGAAAACACCCTGTATATAAGAAGTTAAGCATAGGATGTATAAAAATACATTATAAAATTAATTAAAAATATATAGGATTTTCTCTAAAACGATACCAGAACAAAGTAATTTTTAAAATTAAAATTTCAACTAATAATATTATAATAGGAATTTATAATTAAATATTTTTTTGAAATTTTCTATTAAAAACACCGATCCGGGTAAATTGTTTTCAAGAAATTACTGGGAATTTTTAATAAACCGTTTTATTGCATTGTAAGTAATACTTTATCTGTGCGTGGAAATACCAATCCAATAACAATTATACCAATCCAATAACAATTATACCAATCCAATAACAATTATACCAATCCAAAAACAATTACGTTAATGGGGTTAATCTCTTAAGACTTAACCCAATGACACTGACAGCGGTAAATTTTTTGAATCTAAGAAACGTTTCCTTAAGTAATTAGGCAAAAATAAAAGATTGTATTTTGTGTTTTAGGTTTTAAATATTATAAAAAATGATGGAAAGTCCATAACTTTTAAATCATTCTAAAATATCCCTTTTTAAAAAAAATATGCATTCAAAGTAAATGATGGACTTTTCATCATTCTTTATAATATTTAGAACCTAAAACGCTTAATAAAGTCTTTTATTTTTTGCTTAATTACTTCAGGAAACGTTTGTTAGATTTAAAAATGTACCGCTGTCACTTGTCTTGAATTAAGTGTTACGAAGGTAAAAACCCGGTGTATGCCAACCCGTAAAAACTAATTTACAAGAAGTTACGCTTAAAAACAAATCTAAAAATTTAAAAGGTCTTTATTTCAAATATATCTCCATATTCTGTTAAAACAATTTCTAATTTGCACAGCATAGTAATACATTTTTTTTTTTTCGAAAATATGCAATATTTTCTCAAATTTTCTGAACTTTAGTGAAATATGCAATATTTTCTGAACTTTGGTAAAATATGCAAAAAATGCATATATATATATATTCATTCTGCATATATTTCGCTCTTTATTTATTAGCAATGACATGACATTTTTTTTAAATCATTATAACCATATCACGGGGGCTGATAAACACCGAAACACCAAATATGTTAATTTTCGAAAAGTTTGTACGGCAATTTAATTAAAAGTAATATATAGGGTGGGCCCCCAGGAATTGCATCGATCGATATCTCAGTAACTAGTTGTAGGAAAAATGTCAAAATTTGGACACTTGCTAGTTGTCTTGGGTCCTATTTAGCTAAAATGTTTGAATGTATTGGGCACCATCGGTTGTACCGCAAATAGATCTTAAGTGGCTTATTTTAAATACGACACCCTAATATTTTTGGAATTACTCAATATTTTAGGCACATTATTTGAATTATGTCTTATACCTAGGTCTAAGCGTTTCTGACATATTAGGGTTATAAAACGTCATTTTTGACACAAAAATTTAAATGTGTCAAAAACGCTTAGACTCGTGGTGTTTTTTACTGGCACTGACACTGAGTGTTTTCTCACTTTCTTCTTTTCCGTATTGATAGACAAAGATACATGTATAATCAGTGTGCATTGCCGGTGCCAGTGAAAAACACCATTAGGTTTATTAAATTTTTTCTACATCTGGTTTCTGAGATATCGATCCACCCTATATATATACACAAAATGTTTAATACCCATAAGTTTAAAAATAAATGACCTAAAAGTTTTGTCTACTTACAAAATATGAACCTGGTTATCAACCGAATTAACGACGACATCTTTTGTTAAATACGGAAGACCTGCACGTCTGGCTCTAAAGAAAAAAGATACACATAAAGTAACTGTGACATTTCTGCATTAAATTGTAAATATTTTCTCTTAGAATACAGATATTAATTGGTCGGATTAAAATGCTTTTAAATTTAGTTTCTTTATAATCACAGAGTAAAGCCAAAAATACTTTTAATTTTTTCTCTTTTCGCAATATAGGTTTGTAAACCAAAATAACTCTTAATAAACTAATTCAAAATAAGCGGAAATAAATTGGTACTCAGATACTTACAAATTATATTTTTCAAGATTTCTATGCTTCTTTCTCTTCGCACTTAAAAAAAGTCCTGTTTTTTTACTTATTCTGAGATCTCTTTCCATATTTTGCTTGTCTTTTTCACTAATTAACACTACAAAAATCACCGTGACAACAATAAAAAACTACCTTCACTTGTGTCTCAAATGCCGTACGTAGATGTACTAAACAACAGCGAACTGAGAGTACATTGTGAGTACATTCAAAACAAGTCAATACTTGAATGGGACACGTGTGTATCTAGGGAGGGGGTACATATGACTTACGGAAAATCGCAGCCTAATTTCTTCTTTCTCATGTGTATTAATTGGGAGAACTCAAATGGTATATTTCAAGTAGCGAGCCAAGTCTGCATTTCAACTAAACGCTATTAACTATTCTAAAAATATCTCGATTTTTGTGATAAAACAATAGGCAAAAATACAATTTGAACGAATTCCACAATAATTACATAAAATCAATTTTGTTTTAGCATCACAAAATAGTATAAAAGGCAATTTCTTTATTAAAAACTAGAATAACTATTTACTATTTATAAATCTGAACTCCGGTCCTGCAACGCCAGCGTGTATCAAGAGAGACAAGGAGGGACACAATAGAACCGAAATGAATGATTGATGCCGGTTAAATTTAAATTTTATGCAGAGGTCGACAATTAATCTAGTATTTTTCTTAAATTTCGACTAATTATGACAAATTTTGTACCAAATAAAAGATAAAGAATAGACTTTACCTCGGGTAATAATAGATTTTTTAATTTTGTCTTAGTTTGTCCTGGATGCATTTTTAAATGTTAACAAAGAAAACCATTTAATTGGAAAATTTCAGACTCGTTTAAGATACTAAAAAAATTCTAATCTAATTTTTTATTACTACTCAAGGAAAGACCTGACCTTTTGCATATTGGAGGTTTTTAATTGACAATGATATCTTATACAGTTTTCGAGAAAACAGATTAATCAGGCACCTATGCAGGATAGGGCGATTAACCAAGCGGTAGCCGACTCTTAAACCTCGTTCAGATGCATCTGGTAGATACCAACTTGTGGAACTATTGCCGAATATCTATCCTCTGTTAAATAAGGTCGAATCTGGCCATGATATTAGTGGACTGTAATTTAAAACATACCTTTTGATATGTGCTGGTTCCTAGAAAGTGTGACTCCATTGAAATTTATGTTTTACTGAATACTGCTTTATTACTGAACCTCTTAAAATAGTTTGTACACAACACAATTTTTACAAGTATCTTCCTAAACCATATAATTGCCTTTGAATTCAACTGTTTTATTTGTGATTAAAAAATACCAATGTCGTATGTGAAAGTATATCACTATCAAAGAAGCTCTAACGGTAAAAGTCCAGCAATTTTAACTGACTACATGGTGGTGTCATATATTTTATTGGCTATGAAATAACGCTTATATATCACAAGAGGGTGACGTAATCATTTTGTCTATTTCATCGTTATGGATTAGTTATACAGGGTCGGTGTAAGGTGCAATGTTGAGTGTATTTCAACACCGTCATTTTTCTAAGTTGACGTCTGCAATGGTCATATTAAGAGTTTACATGTTATACTTACAGGTGGTTTGTGAATTAGACTGTATGACTTCTATTATAACATACGATGTTAACAAAAAAATTCAATAAGATAAATAATAATATTTTTTTAGGAACCAAACTAGATAGAGATAGAGACACAACATCACAGGATTCAGGCATATCCCAAATGTCTGCCGGTAACGACGTTGCAAAAGATTTAAATTTAATAGAAGAACAAATGGAAGAATTGACGATTAGGCCGAACTTTAGTGTTAGATCAGGTTCACGGTCGTTACCTTATTCGGCTGTCAACGGTGTTTCCGAAAACGAATCGAACGGTTTCAGAAGTTTAGGTAAATAAAACATGTTCTATTTAAATTTTTAATATTGCATGAGAAAAATGTTCTTGATTTTTTATCAGTAAATTTTAACATGGTTACTTTTTTTTAGGTGAAATTAAAGACTCCGAACAAATAGTGTTAAGTATAATAGAACATTGTTTAGTGCCTGTCTCGATAGAAGAGAAGCGTAAATTATTATCTCAACTACACGAACTGATCAAGTCAGGTCAGACTGAACACGTCAAAAAGAATTTCAAGTAAGTCAAATTATAATTTCCAATTTTATATTTTTCAGCGAATTATATACAGAGTGATTCACATAAACCTCTCCAGACTTATAATATTTCGCTATCACTCATGGGCGTCAAGGGAGGGGGCAATCAAAAAAGTTTCAGTTTTTCAACAACTAAATTGTATATGTATACAAAAATAATATTAGTGAATTAACAAAATGAAAAGCCAGGGGGGGACAACCGCCTCTCCCCCCTCCAAGTGCCCATACTATCAGAAGTATTTAATAAATTAGTCAACAGATACAAGAAGTGACTTGAAATTTTAGTAATTTACTCCTAATAATGGATTTATACAAGTTGGTTAATTTTTTTTTTTTTTTTTTCGACATTAGCAAGAGTAAAGCTGATTCCGAGTAGAAAAAGTAATAGTTATATTTTATTTTTTTATAGAAAAATATTACGAATCATTATCGACCATCTCAACGAAAAAGATACTACGATACAGGTGACGGTACTTCAAACTCTCCGAGCTATTTTTCAAGCTGCCGATATGAAACCATGTTGGAGTGATTTTCTCGAATTGCTCACAATACGTGTGCTCGACGCTCACAAAGACGAAAAACGAGAAGTAAGTTAAATACTTAGATATTCCAAAAATATAATCATATATCTTATATATTTCATAAAAATATTTTAAACCATTTTATAGTAAGAGCACAAAATCACTTTTATTTCAACTTTAACACGCAACAAATCATTTTTTATTTGACTTATTTTGAAACCCAGAAACTGGTTAAATTTAGTGTAATTTTTTTTGTTACATCCTATATAAAAATGTTACAATATTGTTTTCTAAAGGTTGTAAAAGAAGCCGAATTGACGGCAGCCGCGATGACGGTGTGTCCTTTCGAGGCAATAGTAGCAACGGTTGCACCAATGATCAGTACTAGTCCGTATCCCGCATTGCTGGGTGCCATCAAAATGTTGACCAAGTTAATCGAAGCCCATCCGGACAAAATAACGGAGGAACATTTGATCAAAATCATGCCTGGTCTCATCAAGGTAAGTGTTTTTTTCCTTTGGTCCTCTTATTAGAATATTGTTTTATTTCTTTACCTTAAGGACAGAGTATCCTTGTGCATTAGAATGGCGTCTGCAGACCAAAAGTTAATTGTAACTATTTCCGTAATTATACCGTATATCGTCCTATTTTTTTTTAAATTGTAGATAAAGGTCCAACTTAGGTGGTTCAGGCATTGATTTTTTTAAAATTGTTTTTAATAATTAAAAACCACAAATTCAATAATTTTTCTGAAAATGAAACCTTGAACCACCTAAGTTAAACATTTCCCTATAAAATCGTTCAATTGGAAAATATGAAAAGGCGTAGACCTCCGAAATAGTTATAAATGAAAATTGGGTTGCATTTTATGTGTAACCCACTATTAAAAAAAATTTGGACTAAAAATGGCGTCCTCACTTTCCGAAAATAATCAATAATTAGTTAATCCCTGCTTCCATAGATGTATCGAAAAGATATTACATTTCGTTTATGCTTTTACAGCATAAAAACATTAAATGTTTTTTTTTTTTTAAATATATTGTAGTATTTCAAAAAAATAATTACACTAAAGCGAGTTAATAAAATGACAAAAAGAATATAGAATGTGTGATATTAATTTACAGCCGTATGCATAGTCGATCGCCAGAGATTCATTTCGGCGTATCGCCAGCGATTCGCTGGCGATCCGCCGGCGAAAGCACAAAAAGCTGGCGACTCGCCGGAGATTGTCACTGGAATGTCATTTCACGCAAGTTTTCATGTTCTTTTATAGGGAAAAATTTGATATTCGTTCATTATTTTTTGAGTTTTAAGAAATAAATTATGAATAAAATGCGAGAGATACCGGTGATAATCCCTATAAAAGAAAATCCCTAACAACGAAAGTTCTAAAACATCGTTAAAACATATAAAAGTCAGTAATAATTTGTAGTTTCTTTTTTAAACTATATTTTGCATTTTTTGTAAGAAATTCAGCTAAAACAATTAATAATATTAAGATGAATAATATGCTTCGTTTTTGAAAAAGTCTTCAATTATATCAATATATGTTTGTACCAATGAGGGTTATTTTCATAACCTCTACATGTAATACTATAAAATTAGTTAAAATGATTTTGTTTAATTTTAGGGAACCGATCACCCAGAGAGTCCAGTGAGGAAGAGCTCGATATTTTGCATGGTCACATTGCACAAGGCTGTAGGAGAGGAAAGGCTTTCCGCATACATGACCCAATTGTCGGGCAGTAAGGTTAAATTGTTGAGATTGTATATTGAAAGATCAGAACATAATAACTCGGTACCGACCAGTCCGAAAAATAATGGTAATAGCTAGCCCACAATGAATCACAAAACATAAAAAAGAATATTATCTTCCAAATTCGGCGAAATTTGTATTTTTGTATATCGCGATTGTTGATTTTTTTTTTTTTTTTTTTGAAAATGGATGATAGAGTAAAATTGTAAGGGTTGAAATTGGATTAAAGAATAGTTATCTATCAAGTGACATATGTTGGGCTGCATTTTGGAGAGCTGATGTTATCAAATAGCGATCTTCGTGAGGTGTTGTTATCCTTTTTCTAGCAGGATAAGCTCGTTTTGTAACTGTTCCACATTATATAGGTTAGGAAACCTATAATTTACCGAATGACTTCTTCTTAGTCTTCAGGTAATACTCCCTAATAAAGTAGCTACTGCTACCACTTAATCTCGCCTCGAAAGTGTCCTTTAGACAAAACCCTTTCTCAAACTATCAAAATTATTCATTGTATTGTGAAAACAAGTAAGGTACTTACAATGAACAGTACAAAACCGGAATACTTTCTAAAATAACATGCTTTGGAACATTTATAAAAATCTATGAACCAAAATATTTTTTTTTAAATATTTCTACTTTTTAAATATAAATAGAGAGCGGAAAAAATGTATCGAAATGTATTTATAATACTTTGTATATAATGTAATTCTCGACATTCTAAATACACTTTAAACAATAAATAATTGCAACAGAATATCTACAATAATCTCGCGCAAAATTGTAACTGAATTTAAATTTCACTCTAAAATATTTTATGTAGATTATTTTGAAGAAATTACTGGGAACTTTGAAACAGTTTTATTGCTTCATAGGTACTTTATATGTGGAAATATCCAATTCTTCTCTTAGGTAAATGCTACATTTGAATATTCTAGTGAAAAATCCTCCCTAATATGCACAGTAATACATTTTTTTTTTTTAAACAATAAAATTATACGGGAACTGCCCAAAAACTTTAATAATGGCAATGACTTTAAAAATTGGTCCTGAATTCGTTTTGACTAGCTTAGATACTTACTGTTTTATATAAATTCAAATTGCCTAAAATGCCTTCTGCAAATTCACATTAGCTCTTGAGCTATAACAGCGCTACTAACTCAATCAATGTGTTTAAACAAGGTGGACTACTACGAACTGCATCGATTGATCTCTCGGAAACTGGATTTAGGAAAAATTTGAAAATTTGGAAACTTGCTAGATGTCTAGAACCTATTCATCTAAAATAGTCTATTGGGCACCTCCGATTTTACCGGAAATGTACCTTAAGTCGCTTATTTTAAATACGAAACTATATATTATTATATTTTTAGATTCTATTCAAGTTTATAAGCATATTTTATGTATCACGTCCCATACCTAAACGTTTTTGACCTAGAGACATACATTTGTTTTTAATAATGTTGAAAGAGTCTGGCATTTTTATTTCTAGATTCTAAAAATGCTAAAATAATTCCAAGATATAGCAAAATAACTGCAAATGCCCTTGCAGACTCGCGATTCCAGATTTCTTAACATAGATCCTATTTTTTTCGTCATTCGTCATCAGCTCTCCGACTATCGAGACTGCCAGTCCGCCAGCTTAACGATGCTAGCAACCTCGATATATTTCATCCATATCCTAACGCCATTTCATGTTTAACACGAACAAAGCATGCCCGAAGGTTCGATCTTGTCATGTGCTATACAATATTGTCCATTGAACATCTTCCAATACACCTTGACACAAGTGCACGTAAAAACTACAGATGGTAGGCAGGAAAGGAACAATACCAGCGATGCCAACCTATACGGCCTGTCCAACGATCCAACGCGGCCAGTTCGTATAAATGCCAACATTGACAATTCCTTTTCCGATTGCTCCAACGCCAACTCTCTGTATTTTTCACTCGCACTTGTGCAACGTGTATTGTTAGACGTTGAGTGGCTGATATTGTTTAAACTGGCTCAACCCAAGATACTTGTTCATTCTTGAATAGCCATTATGATTTTACTCTGCCATATTGCTTTTAGGTAGTTCGCTTTTGAGTTAAATATATATTTTGTTATTTCTTCATTAGAAATTAAGATTTAAGATTTTTTTTACCTAATGTCTAACCATAATTTTTTTATAATGCGAACTTTTCCAATTTCATCACTTTTCTTCAGGATGTTCTTTAACAAATAATACGGCCATCAGATATATTTAAATCGTAGTCGATGAGCTTATTTTATTAGATATGTGCTAAAACATAATTAAGTTTTTATTAATTCCAATAATTATAATTAAACATTAACAGAAATTAAAAACACATCGTTTTAAACAGTTATAACACTAACTAGACGTGTAATTTTATTAATCTACTTAAACAAAATTTTTTGTTTTAAATTAAACGAATAGAATACCATTAGTTCATACTTTCAAATACGTTTTACAAACTTTTCTAAAATTTGAGAAGGAGTTGAGAAATGCTTAATTTTGAGATTTAATTTTTATAAGTATATAAGTTTGTATATTTATTATTCAAACTCGTTTTCTAAAACTTTTACATCACTTAAAAGCATCCCTACAAAAAAGCAGGAGTTAGTAAGCCACAGAAAATTAAATAATAGTTTACTTGTCTTCGCTCCAAATTCATGATTAACTGCTTCTGGTCCTAGTTATTATTTGTAATTTTCATTTTTCAAATAATTTTTTCAGTCTTTGATCTGAATTTCGATCATAAAATAAAATTGATTTTTATGTTGAACAGCTTTAGTACTAAGTTAATTTTGTCATGATTCCAAACAAATATCTGAATAAATCTATTCTTAGTATTATAAGTTAAATAATATCCTGCGTATATATTTTTTAGCCTTCAACTAATTTATTATTAAAATTAATATTGTTTTTCTTTTGATTATTAAATGTATATATATTTAATCTATTAACTATTGCCATTTTTTCTTGATACACTAAATGTGAAAGCACTATTCTGTGCCATTTTTAACACGTATATTTGTTAAATTATTTAATAAACGGATATTGATATTGAATATTCTCTTTGATATTGTTTTCATGGTTATGTTTTGTATAGTTTCAATTATTATCATTGATCTGTATAATATAATAAATGGATAGAGAACTCTTATCATTTGCCCTCTTAAGAAACAAAGTTACATTTTTATGAAATGGTATTAACTATCCATTTACTATATGTATACAAATCAATGGTTATTATGCACATTGAATGGAAAATGTAAGATACATTTTTTAGATTTGAATGGTATTTAGGCAAAGAAACAATGTTTTTATTATTACATCCTTGTTTTTAATTCAATAAATTATTTAATAATGAAAACTGGCCTTCTAAAATGTGTTATCTATTATTGCATCAGTAAAAAAAATAAGAATATAAACACAATGGTTCTGGGAATAAAAAATGCAGCACCTTTTTGAGATAAATACAGAAAGAATGTTTTTGGCTCATATTTTCTTATATATTTAATTGGGTGATTTCATTTTTTCTGTTTGCTTTTTAAGGAGAATAATAAAAATGACCGATTAAACAAAATAATCATAAAACTAATATCAAATTGGCAACAATCACTAATAACAAATACTATTAGTTTTTATTAAATTTTAAAAGTTTTAAGCAAGCATTAAAATGTAATAAATTTTAATAATAACCATCGTTAATTAAATTCAATTTTGAAAATTTGCTAAATTTATCATGTTTTAGTATCGGGTGGATGATACATCGAAGTTACCAAATTAATTTTTGAAATTCATTGAGATCCATCATTTTACACTCATCCGATATTTATGTGGCAACATTTCAACTAATATTGATTCATTGAAATCAGGTATACATCAAACTTTGTTTATAATAATTTTAGAAAGTGATTTCATAAAAATTAACATAACGTTAAAGTAAATGTACGTTTTCCAATTATTTTTCATAATTAAAAAAAGGTTTGTTTTGATTTTGGTAATACTTCATTGAAAATTATCAATTTTATTGTATCACAATAGGTATGACTACTAATGTTATATATATTTATCAATTCAAAACAGTTGTGATAAAAATTACACAAAAACGTATTTATTATTTACAAAAAAAAATTAAATGCATACATTGCAGCCCAAACTCAAAATGCAGTCATTATTATTGCAAGTTCTAGAACCAACCATTAATATTTTTACCTATCCTTAATTATGAATTTTTAAGGATAAACAGATAGTGGCGACTATATAGCTAAGTCTTATTTTAACATTGAATTTATTTGCCTCTAATAACTTTCACTATTAGTGGCTTATGTTATAAAAATTTGAAATATCTCTAGTGTCTACTTATGATTTTGTCAAAAAACAAAAAGATAGTGATCGGAGTTTCGAATACTTTTCACAGTCTGCCCAGGAATTTGTCTTTATATAATTCATGTAAATTTAAGAGTTCACCCAATGGTAACCTCTCCTTTATATTCTATTTATAATGGAAAGCTATCAAAAAGTATCCCCCAGAATATCATTTGAAAGCCCCGACAATTGTAATAGTCGATATTTAAATCACATCAATGATATAATATGTAGTTATATAGATTGCTCATCCATAGGTAAATTGGATATAAAGCGTAGAGGAATGAGAGCAATCTCATATGGTTGTGTATCGCAAAAAGTGTCCATCAAAAAACATTCAATAAGATTTTATGATGGCATTACTGTACCAGAATGGAGTTTGAAATCACCGAAAATTGTTATAGTCGATAATTCGGATTACACAATCAACCAATAATGTATATAGGTATACAGGGTACCAATAAAAACTCCCAATCCGGATATTTTGGTAAGTAATAGAGATATTTTAATTCTGTAAAAGCCAGTTCATAGAACGCTAAGAGAGCTTCAGTTTTAGATATTAATTAATTTTAAATAGGTCAATAGGTAGATGGCGCTGCGCTCAATATATTTTTTTCGATTGGATGATCTTTCTTATTTAACGCATTTTGTAAAAAATGCATTTTTAAGCAGATTTTGTTCTATAAACTAATTCGATAGATCTAGCCATTTTTGATATACAGAGTGGGTCACTCAAAAAAGTTTCATCCTGTTTTTCGGCATTAATCATTGGATTTTTAGAAAATGCTAAAACAAGTCGATTTTTATTCCCAATTAAACACATTTCTACAATGCAGACATCTGTCATGTGTCAACCCCCTCCCTTCTACTTCTCCAACCCCTTAATTTTAAATAAGGAATGTATCATGTACGGCACATCATTAAAAAGGTAATTTTATGGGGAAGTCAGAAATATGACACTTAATGCGATATATTTCATTTTAGCGCCCTCTATCGGGATGAAACACCTGTAATGTATTATAAAGTGTTACACTTCATTTTAAAGCTAATTTAATTACTAATTCAATGCACCACATAACATTAATATAAATATTTTCATATTGCACTTAGAACAAAATAAAATTAGCAATAATGTTTAAAATAATGCATGAATAATTTTCAAACTATTGCAAGTGCAATATGGAGGATATTTATATAAATGTTATGTGCTGCATTGAATTAGTAAATAAATTTGCTTTTGAATAAGGTATCACACTTAATAATACGTATAGTTTTTTATCCCGATAGAGGGCGGTACAATTAAAAGTATCGCAATGGACAGTCATATTCTAAATTCCCTATAAAATTACCTTTTTAATAATATACTACACATTGTAGTGTCACACTCTATAATACGTAGTAGTTTTTTATCCCGATAAAGGGTGATAAAATTTAAATAACGCAATATACAGAAATATTTCTGAATTCTTCTTTAAATTACCTTTTCAATGATGTGTCACACATGATACATTACCTATTTAAAATTAAGGTGTTGGAGAAGTGCAAGAGAGGCGGTTGACACATGACAGATGTCTGTATTGTAAAAATGTTTTTAATTTGGAATAAAAATCGACTTGTTTTAGCATTTTCTTAAAACCCAATGATTAATGCTGAAAAACAGGATAAAACTGTTTTGAGTGACCCACTCTGTATATCAAAAATGGCTAGATTTATCGAATTAGTTTATAGAACAAAATCTGCTTAAAAATGCATTTTTTACAAGATGCGTTATATAAGAAAGATCCTCCCATCGAAAAAAATATATTGAGCGCAGCGCCACCTACATATTGACCTATTTAAAATTAATGTATATCTAAAACTGAAGCGCTCTATGAACTGGCTTTTACAGAATTATATCTCTATTACTTACCAAAATATCCGGCCTGGGAGTTTTTATTGGTACACACCCTGTATACATTGCTGGCCCATATGTAAATTTTAATAAAGGCCAAAAGTTAAATTTTATTGTAATATAATAATATTAACATTATTAACGTGTGCAATCAAAAGACGTTGAAGTGGTCACAAATGTTCAAAAAATAATGTCGCAATTTTTCCAAGCCACGGTACGTATAAAATAGTTTTTTTTATTTGTATCATCTTATTTAGATAGCCTAGTTTTAAAACAACCTTACGGACGTTTCATTGGAAACAAGTACAGAACTTGGCCGTGCCCTAACGCCCCCTTGATCACTGAGTATAAAATTCCAAATACATCAAACAATTATGAGTGTTGAAAATTAGAGGAACCGCTGTATACTAGAACTAAAGAGAATTCGTCGTCTGATTTACGTATAGATGAGTCAGCTATGTAACTATATATATATATATATATATATATATATATATATATATATATATATATATATATATATATCATTGGATCTTGCTCTTCTACTACACAAGAGTCATTCTGTTCACTTTTTGAAACCTTATTTACTGTTTTTAATTGGACACTTTTTGAAATGAACAACCGTATGAGATTGTCCTTCTTTCCTTTACACTCCATACTTATTTAATGCTTTTTGGTGGACACTTTTTTAGATAAATAACAATATGACATTGTCCTGTAGAGAAACTACACTCGTATATCTTATTTACATTATGGATGAACAATCTATATAACGATATACTTACAAAGATAGGTCTCCTTACCTCTACTTTTCATAGTACTAAAATTGGAACCAGAACTATGTAATCAATAATATACAGAGTGTTTCCTAAGTAATCTGAAATATTGTTGTGGGCGATTCGTCATTTAATTTTAAGACGAATAGCTTCTATAAACATGTGTAATAGATTTTATCATTTATGAGTTACAGGGCGTTGACTTTTTTGTAATAATAGGAGCTCTAAGTGAAAGTTACCATACATTTTCCTTAGTGGCGCTACTGGTTTCCTAAATTACATACAAGGCTGTAATATTATTCGCAACATTCCTGGCCACTTCAAATGTATTTAAACGTCTACTATGAAATGTAATACTACTTTTATATAATAAAAAAATCAACACCATGTATCTCATAAACCACAAAACCTATCGCACATGTTTATAGGAGCTTTTCATCTTAAAATTGAATGACGAATCGCCCACAATATTTTAGATTACTTTGGAAACACCCTGTATAACGTATTATCTTGCCATGTCCACATTTTTATTATTAAAGATGTCTACAAGAAAATTATTTAATTGCCAGCAAAAAACGAAAAACTCCATCAATGTTAAATACACACATCGCCAAAATTCTTGTCAAAATGAGACACTATTATTAAAAGTCAAGAAGTGTGTTACATAGTACTTTTAATTTGGTTATGTATCCAATACAAATTGGCTGAATTAAATTTTAACTAAACAAGAAAAAAATACGAACGAAAAATTACTAGAATTTGAATTCCATAAGAAAACCACTTTAGATCAAAATCAAAAATTCGGTGTGTCCTTCCCTCTTCTATAGTAAGGTATTAACTCACCTGTGCAGGGAAACAATAAGGGTGTTGATGTAATCCATTGGGATGTTCTTCTTGGGCCGCGACTGTGAATTTCTGGAGGGTGATAGGAGGATTAATTCTGTTTGTGATTGCTCTTCCAACGAAATCCCACAATGTGCTCAATGGAATTCGTAACTGGCGAATTTGCTGGCCACGGTATTTGAATATTCTGAAAGTCTAGTGCATTTTGTACCCTTCTCGTGCGATGAAAATAAAATTGGCCCCAATTTCATTTCAGAGAGGATAAATAATGGGTTCAATAATGTTTCGAACATATCTATCAGCTGTCATAGTATCTGGAATGGGAATAAGCTGCGTAAGACGACCATGCCTCCCCAAAACATTACTGTTCTTCCTTGGTATGGAACGACTTCTCTGGCAAAAGATAGTCTTTCTGGTCGCCCTGGCCCTCTCCAAACTCTGTGTCGCCGACTATCAGTAATTAAACCATATCTGGTTTCGTTCTAAAAAAGAACATTTCGCCACTGAGCTAAAAGCCAGTCTCTGTGTTCCTGTGTCTACTGTAAACGAGCAGCTATATGTCTGGGAAGTAACTTGGATACTCTTAATGTTCTCCTAGATCGTAAATTGACTCCAGCAAGTCTCTGCCGTATTGTGGTACTGGAAATGAATCGACCATACGTTCTTCTAAAATGAGTTCGGACAGCTGAGACTGTTACAGTTCGATTCCGACGTACATAACCTGCTACATACCGATCTTCTCTTGGATTAGTTACCCTAGGACGCCCAGTCCCACGTCTTCAGTCAACGCTATTAGTTTCCTGGTACAAACGCACTATACGGATAACTGAAGCGCGGGGAATCCCTAGTCTATCTGCGATTCGATGATTCGTCAGACCCTAATCATGCAAAGCCACTATTCTTGCTCTATTGAACACTGAAATTCTATTGCCAGGAATAGTTGCAAAGAAAAACTCAACAATCACTTAAACACGCAAAATTGATATAAACAACTTTTTAAATATTGGTACCTAAAATTTGTTTTTGTAAACATAAAAAAAACAGCCATGATTAATATTTCCTTTTAATATTTACGAGGGGGGTCCAAGAATTTTGGCGATGTGTCTTTTGAATTTGACAGCTTTCACCACGTGTTGTTCATCTCCGTCTCATGCACATAACTACAAATAGCAAGCACAAAACACGACATACAGTCAGATAAATATGAGTTTGAGCTGTAACATATGTTGACACTTCCAACGAATTGTTGCATATGAAATGAGAATCTTATATTACAAATTTTGTCAAATGTTTTGCTATTTAAATTTGATTTTACATTTTTAAACTTAGAAGGAACGCTTTAGAACACTGGCGATGGGCTAAAAATTACAGAACCAACTGGATAGCATCTTTAATGTCTTGTTTTAACTTTTATCGTTAATCAAAGATATTCATATCTTTAATTTTTAGTTATACAATTTCATAAATTCCACAACAAAAATCACCTTATCTGAAATTTCTCCAGGTCATAGATACTTTGTGATTATTAGTTTTATATATAATGTAAATATTTGACTTTGATGTTTGTGAACCATTATTTTCAATACCGATTCTACCTTTCAAATTAATCAGATTTTTGTTATAAGCTGCCTTATTTCTTTATAACTAGTAAAATTTAAAAAGCTGTTTCCAGTTTTATTAAGTTTTAAAACGACTACATTTTATAAGATCTGGTTGATTTAAAAGATGCTACATTCAAGTAGTGATGGCAAAACGTTTAAAAATATTGAATATAATAGTTGATTTTTTAATGTAATGCCATCTCGGAAGATATTGGTTAATGTAGTTGTAAGATACATGTACTTCTTTATTTAAAATGTTGGATCATTTTTATATTTGTTTGTTTTCTACATGAATGTTTCTACTTAATGTTGTTCAACTTCTAACCTGTTAGAAAGTGTTGTGAGTTAATAAGAAATTTTTAATATTTTTGAAGCACAGTTGTACCATTTTGACAGTTATAGATTTATAAATTATACAAATTACTCTGTTTTATTTAGAAGTATAATAGCTTGAAAGATGAAAATATTTTATATGCCAAAAATAATGATGTATTATTTAAGGAAAATATGCTACAATACATTTGTAAAACATCCTTGATGAGTTGTATATAAAGTAGTTGTAATTTTTTAGCAAGGTTAACTGTACTCTTATGAATTAGCTTCTCTCTGTGAACATTAATTTTTGCTACTTATAATTATCAATTGCCCATTATGTAATTATTAATAATTAAAATAAAAACTTTAATTGATTTTTTTCTCATTTAACCTAGTCATGCCTTGAGTAAAACTTGTCGAAACTACCCTTTAGAGTAACATATATTATTTAATATATTTTTAACCAATATCAATAACTGACAAGATAATATCGATACGTTTTTACTTTCCTATCTGTATACAGATATAAGAAAAGTATAGGAATCATGATTTTTTTCGACGGATTTTTACGTTTTGAGGTCCCCTGAATCCGTTTTGACTATTTTCGCGATGTCAATGTGTGCGTGTGTCTGTATCCACCATAACTCATGAACCGATACACAGAATAACACCAAATTTTAAACTTAAGCTTTATTCCATCGTCCAATGAATTGATTAGATTTTGGACAGAGTCGGAACATCTGGGGGGGTACTTTATAGGTGGTCATTTTTATATTTTATGGAATATATCTGTTATTTACGTTTGGAGAAGAAAATTCTTCAAATAAAAGTTACTTCTAATTATATTATCTATAATTTTTGTTCTATACAAAATTTTCCTAAAATGGTCCGTATTCGAGAAATTTAACAAAATGAAAAAAAAAAATGTTTTTATAAAAATTGTTCAAATAGAAGTTGTTTGTAATATAATTCTCCATAATTTTTATTCTATACATAATTTCTCTAAAATGGACCGTATTCGAGATATTTGAGAAAATGTGTAAATTCGAATTTTGAAGAAGACTCAAAAACGGATAAAGAAAAAACATTAAATTTTAAACTTGTTTTATTTCGGCCTGACATGAAATGATTAAATTTTGGACAAAGTCAGAACATCTGGGGGGGGGGTACTTTATGAGAGGCCGTTTTTATATTTTATGGAATATGTCTCTTATTTATGTTTGGAGAAGAAAATTGTTCAAATAAAAATTACTTCTATTATTATCTATAATTTTTGCTTTATGTCAAAATTTCCTGAAATGGTCCGTATTAGAGAAATTTGACAAAATGTGCAAAATTTTGATATTTATGAAAATTGTTGAACTAAAAGTTTGCGATATTGATCTCTATAATTTTTGTTCATATATGATTTTTCTAAAATGGACCGTAATGGAAAAATTGGAGGAAGAGTGCTAAATTTAAATTTTGCAGTATTTTCGTTTTCAATGAATATAAAAAAATGTTTCGAGGTAGATGTATGGGAAAATGTATATATTTAGTTTACCCTCTAAATATTTATAGACGTGCTGCAATAGGTTGTACAAAATAACCGGAAAAAGCTATAACTAGATAGGAAAGTCATGTGTTGGACACATCAGATTTTTGATCAAATAGCACTAGCAAAACGGTATCGATATTAAGGACAATGAACAGAGTGTAAGTATATTAATGTATTAACTCTGGGTCCCTATCCTCGGCTATCGTTTTCTAAAAAACGTATACGCTTTAGCAACATACGAGCTATTCGCTATTCTCGACATTCGTTTTAAAAGCATGTACGCTTTTAAAACGGGTGTTTTACAGCGAGCGGAATTTTTCACACGTTTTTGATAAAACGTGCATGTTTTCAAGGATTTAGTCAATGTCACTTATATGTCACTTTTAGGACGATTAATATTATTGATTGATTTTAAGAAATTCTAGGTAAACTACTATTTATTAATACCTACAAAAGTATCTAATTTCTTATAAATATGGTTTGCAGTACTAAAGAAGTCCATTAGCTGATAATTTCTTTCAATTATATTATCAATAATTGTACAATTAGAAAACTTAGAAGATAAGAATCCTTAAAGATTCAGACTTGCAGAGGCAGAATCCAGTTTTTGATTTTAACTGATATTGAATGAATATTTTTTATATCTTACCGTGTAAGAATTTTATTATTAATTCATGTATGTTTTATTTACAAATGTTAATTTGCTTGCGGTTCAAAGCTCTCCTGTATCACACGTTGTGTCCAGAAATTTTTACAATTTTGTAAAATTGCCACAAAATATTAAAGTACTGATTAATATAAGCAAAGTTATTAGTTAAATTAATTTTTTACTATAAAAACTAGGTTTTTATGACGTACGATTTTCCTAGAATTATAGGTTGCATTAACTGCACCCGTATAGCTATTTTTACGCCAACAATTAACGATTCAGATTATCCTGAACATCGATATATATTATGTGATTAGAAAAAATCATCGTTCGACAAATTTACAATTGGTTTGTTGTAATTAAATTACATAATTCTTATTTTTTTATGGCCTGCACATTACTTGAATTCAACGACATAGACAGTTTACAGTGATGCCAGACATATAATTTGCTTGTTAAAAACGTACACGTCTTAAAAAACGAATACTCATCGAACGTCAGTCAAGAATATAGATTTCAAAAACTACTCGCTTTTCAACCACTCACTTTTGAAAACGGTTCGTTTTTTTAGCGATTGTCGATGATAGCCGCCCTGATAGTATTATTATCACATACTTCGATTTTCTTTTATTATACGGAGAATGGTCGCACGGCGCAGCTTTCCGAGTACCTTTTAAAAGGAGATAGAAGACTCCGCCATTTTGTTCCCTTATTACGTGTTGCCTACATCTTGGCGCAATATTTTTAACAGGTGCGTTTTAATCATCCGCTCTGCTTCGGAATTGTCGGTTTTCTTGTTTTAATCTGACAGGTTAAACCGACAAGTAAATATATTTTGTAGTTATTACTGGGTAAAAGCAACGAAACGTTGTGCACTAAAATAAACAAAGAAAATATAGAAAAAATATTTTATTGAAATTATTTTACAAATGTTGATACAACAATAAAAAGGTTAAAAATATAACTAAAATCAGAAGTTTTAGAAAGTGAATAAAAAATTAAGACCTAAAATGATAAACTGCGAATCAAAGTTTTTTCAAAATTCAATTAACAGCTTTACGTGAACACATACTTCTCATTTACTCTTCTTTTTGTCGAGCCTTTCCTTCTTTTTTAATGCGACTTCTTTCATACTGTCAGTAAAACCTTCCATATCATTTAAGACAGGTTCTGCTTTCTTATTTTTTCCCTTTGTCCTATCTTTTTCAATTTTTCTTAATAAAACTTCCTTCATAGCATCTGTATATCCGTTTAAACTCAAGTTATCGCCTAAAAAATAAACAATAATGTTGCATTTTGAAACATATTAAACAAGTTGAGCGCCACAATATATACTGCAATCCTCTCAAGTTAAGCTTAACTTGCACAGAGTCAAAAAAATTTCATAAAACGGCAAATTTTCTAAAAATCAGGTGTCAAAAATATACAAAATGTGGGATGTAAGGATTTTAAGGACATGTTGCGTCCCGTTTTGTTATTTGCGTTGTTGCCAGATTGATTTTTAAATGCAACACCATGTATATTCTTAAATCCCAGTTCAACAATATGGAACACGATATTTTATGTTTTCTTTTAAAGCTTTTAAGCCAGAAAGATTAGCCGCAAAACTAGTGAGAATTCAAGTTCTGAGATTAAGCGGTGATATCAAATTTGGGGGAATTTTAACAGAAACAAGTGTTTTCTAAATAACTTGACTATCGTTTAAACTAGGAAGAAGTGGTTTGCATCATTAAATTTATCTTTAAAAGCTCTACAAAATGGTTTTTAAATGGTCACTGCTGAGTGGTCCGTAAGGCGAGAAAATAGGATTTCCAAATCAAATTTGGGGGAATTTTAGCAGAAAAAAGTGTTGACTATCGTTTAAACTAGGAAGAAGTGGTTTTCATCATTGAATTTCTGTTTAAAAGCTCTACAAACTGGTTTTTACCATGCTGTAAGACACGATAATAGGATTTTCAGATTGAATTTTAAGAGAAAAATGTTTTTATTAATTAACTTGACTATCGTTTCAACTAGGAAGAAGTGGTTTGCATCATTAAATTTCTCTTGAAAGACTTTACAAAATGGTTTTTAAAAAGTCACTGCTAAATTGTCCATAAGGCCAGAAAATAGGGTTGTCAGATCAAAGCTGGGGGAATTTTTAGCAGAAACAAGTGTTTTTGTTAAATACTTTGACTATCATTTAAACTAGGAAGAAGTGGTTTGCACCATTAAATTTATCTTTAAAAGCTCTACAAAATGGCTTTTAAAAAGTCACTGCCGAGTTGTCTGTAAGGCCAGAAAATAGGATTTTCGGATAAAATTTGGGGAAATTTTAACAGAAATCAGTGTTTTTGTTAAATAACTTGACTATTATTTCAACTAGGAAGAAATGGTTTGCTTCGTTGAATTTCTCTTTAGAAGCTCTACAAACTGGTTTTACTAATTCATGCTGTTGTTTGTAGGGCAAGATAATGGGATTTTCAGATTAATTTTTAACAGTCGATTATTTTAGGTTATTTTGATAATCGCCCAGCCCTACTCCGGTCACGAGGTGGATGCGTGACCACTGGTTTTACCAAAAATATTTTATTGGCTTTTTGTGACATTATTTTCTGGGTTGTAAAACTAAGTTATAAAATTGATTTTTGATATTAAATTGTCAAGAGGGAGATTTCAACAGAAAAATTACAATAATGGCAATATTCTAATTCATTTTTTATCAACATTTTTTTCTTCAACATTTTTATATAGGGAAACTAGGGAATATTTTACAATAAAAATATTAAAAGTAGTTAGTACTTAGTAAAAATAAACAAATAACATATTTAAAACAAATTCACGAATTGAGCTCCTTGGATCAGTTGAAAATATCCAAGATGTGTAATAAATTCTTGGGACAAGTTTGACAATATATCTGCTGTAATATGTTGAATTTTCGTTGAAATTATCTCTTTAATGTCTTCCAAATTGGTAGGTCGGTTTACTTAATCTTTACTTTTTAGGCATAGTTGAAATATCTGGGGGTACTTTATAGGGTGTCGTTTTTTTACTTTAAAGAATGTCACGGTTATTTACGATTGAAAAAGAATATTCTTCAAATAAAAAAGTTGTTTGCAATATTATTCTATAAATGATTTCTCTAAATTGGACCGTAATGGAAAAACAACTGGTCAGGAAAGTCACGTGTTGGACACATCAGCTTTTCATGATTAATAGAAAGGGTAAACATGATTCAATTTTCAATTATCTTTTTCTCTTAGTGATATATAAACAGGGTGACTCACGCTCAACGGGACGGAGCTTTATGGGAAAACGACCAAAGATATAAAAAATTCGTTTGGGAGGAATACGTAGGTTACAATTTAAAATTTGTTAGATGTATACAGGATGTCCCACATAAGAAAAAAAATTAGTTCATTAAAAATTATTCAAACAAGAGTAAACAATTAATTTCTGGGAGACTTTTTTTTCCTTAAAAATTCAAATAAATCGAAAACTAATAATAATAGTAATAGGGAACCTTTAGTTAACTGACATTATTTTTGATGTAGTTTTTAATTCTAAAATAAAAAACAGGGTGTTCCATTAAAAATAATATAACTTTGTATATTTTCTCTTATGCGGGACATCCTGTATACATCTAACAAATTTTAAATTGTAGCCGTCTGTAACCTACGTATTCCCCCCAAACGAATTTTTTATATCTTTGGTCGTTTTCCCATAAAGCTCCGTCCCGTTGAGCGTGAGCCACCCTGTATATAAAAAATATTTACCTTTCGCATTACTTTGTTTATTAGCAACAGTTTTCTTCATTTTCTTAGGTTTTTCTGGTTCTTCATCTGTATCTTCTGTATAATTTAATTTTGGTTTTCTTCTCATAGTAACATTTTTTTCTGCAGTACAATCCATCTCTTCGTCCTCATCTGATTGTTCTTTTTCATCCTCTGAGGATTCTGAAACGGATACGTGTTTTTTTCTGCCATTTTTAATCTTCAATGTTGAAACTTTTTTATCATTATTTTTTCTTTTAATAGGTGATTTTGATGGTGTTTCTATGGTAACATCCATCTCTTCATCTTCATCTGAATGCTCTTTTTCATCGTCAGAAGATTCTGAAACTGATACTTGTTTTTTCCTGCCATTTTTAATCTTTGGCGTTGAAACTTTTTTATTATTGTTTTTTCTTTTAACAGGTGATTTTGATGGTGTTTCTACGGTAACATCCATGTCTTCATCCTTATCTGAATATTCTTTTTCATCATTAGAGGATTCTGAAACTGATACTTGCTTTTTCCTACCATTTTTAATAGGCGATTTCGCTGGTGTTCTTTTACCGGGAGATTTAGTTTGTAAAGAAAAGTTAAAAGGTTTTTCTATAGAATCTACACCCGACATAAATATTTTTCTTATTTTTTGGTAATCGGGTTTAGTGTTGTGTTTTAGTGTGGACAGGTGTTTTAAAAATTCTATTAGTGGATCTAAAAATATTGTAAATTATATTACGTGTTTTCCGACTAAAAAGGTGTGAATTAAATTACCTGGAGGAGACTTTTTTCCAAAACAGGCTTTTATAATATTCTGAACACTTGACATATGTTCCTCTTTTGATTTTTGAACTGTTTTAGGATCTGTCAATTTTTTTTCCCAAGGCAAAATACAACCTAACCACTGAATTATGTTATACGCCAGAATTTCCAAGTCTCCACGTCTCGATTGTACTAAAAATACAAATTTATTTTTTATTAATAAATTTATAAATTTTTCTTTAAAAATGTTAAATTTACCTCCAAGATGTGCATCTCTACTTAAATACTCTATGGTACCATCATGGGCCTTTTTTGGATTTGGTTTAAAGTCTTTGTCATCGCTGTATTTGGTAGCCAATCCAAAATCTACCAAATAACATTGTTTATTTTGAGTTTCTTTGGTAATACCCATTAGAATATTCGCCGCTTTAATATCAGCATGCACATAACCTTTACTATGAATATATTCTAAAACATCTAGCTAAAAAGAAATTTTAATTATCTTTACTAAATATTATCAAAGTACCAGTAATCTCAGTGCACCAGTAATGCCACTTTAAAATTCAGACTCTTTTAAAAAGGGGCATGTGATCAGATTTGTACATAAGCTTTGCCAGGATAAAAGTCTAATGTCTCTGTCAATTCTTGATAAATACTGACTTACAAATATTGAAATATTGAATATAAAAATGTTATTGTTCAAAACAGTTTCCTATCAGACCATTCACTACAACTCTGTGAATTCGACTTGCAAATAGCAAATCAGGTAGAAACTACACAATCTTTTCTTAGGGATTTAAGTGACAGTAACAAGCTTATCTTTAAAAATATAATTATTAAGGAGTCATGGGAAGACATGTATAACTTATCTGAGTTTAATAACAAATTTAACAGCTTATTAAAAAAATCAAAATCCACTCCTATATATAAAAATAAAGGGTCTGTAAATGACATGGCAAACTATAGGAACATCTGCATTCAAAGTCAACTGGCTAAAGTATTCGAAATGGCCTATAGGTAATAACAGGTTCATTAAATTTCTAGAACATACTAGACTTTTGAGTAAATTTCAACATGGTTTTCGCAGACATAAGTCAACATCTAGTGCTATATGGGAGTTGTGCGATTTTGTTTACACATCTTTAAATAACAAGCATTTAAATATTACCTTATACTTTGACTTCTCACGAGCCTTTGACTCAATAGACCATCGACTGCTAGTAGATAAATTGTACTGAATAGGTATAAGTGGATACAGTCATATTTAAACAACCGTGAACAAGTTGTAACCATCGGATGCAGTAAATCAAATAGTTGAAAAGTAACAACGGGAGTACCGTAGGGTTCAGTATTGGGCCCTGTTTTATTTTTAGTTTTTATTAATGACTTAGCTCTATCTTGTACAAGTCAAAGTACCAAAATTATATGCAGATGACACAACTTTTGGAACATCAGCAAAAAATGCATCTTAACTTCAATATATTTCGTTTTTTTCTAAATACATTTCCTAAAGTAAGTACATTATAAAATAGGTTGTTGTTTTTTAAGTAATTAAGATATGTAAATAAAATTTTATTGCTTACTTGGATTTTTACCTAAATTTTAGGTGTTAATAACTGGGTACACATACTCATATTATTCTCCAGTGTTACTGGGGTATTATGAGGCTCCAGTGTTCAACTTCTTAATGTCGATAACTGGGGTGATGATAACTAGTGTAATTGTCAATATAAAATGTTGTACTAGTGTCGATTACTGATGTTCTTACCTTATGAGTATAATTACAACTATAATAATAATAATAGTTTATTTGTCCTTTAGGATCATGTTACATGATATAGGATAAGTCATAATATATTATATGAATAAAAAATATTAAAATACAAATAAATATAGGTACCGTATACAAAAAATATATAAATAAATATATAAAAATAAGACATGCACATTAAAAATATACAATTAGAAAAACATTTACATTAAAATATTAAAAACTATTTAGTAGATTTATGTTTTTATAATTTATAAGTTTTTTTTTAAAAGGTTCATATTTCTTTTCAGATTTAATGAAATCAGGGAGTTGATTAAAAAATTTAATTCCAACAAATTCAGGCGATTTCTCAAATAATTCTGTTGAATGTCTTGGTGTTCTGAATAAATTTGCATTCCTAGTTGAGTATTCATGGTAATTTGAATTTTGTAAAAATTGGTGTATGTTGCCTTTAGCATATAGCAACGTTTTATAAATGTAAATACAGGGAAATGTTAATATTTTAAATTTTTACAAGTTTGCATTAATTCTAGATTAAAAATAAGCCAGATTATTCTTTTCTGTAAGATAAATACTTTAGATGTATTGACTGCATCACTCCAAAGAATAATGTTGTATGATATATGAGAATATGCTAAAGCATAGTAGACATTAAGCAGTTGCTCTTGGGTAAATATTGATTTTAATTTTAATATTGCATAGTATGCGCTGTTTAATTTTTTACAAACATTAGATATTTGGCTATCCCAACCCATATTGCTATCAATATGTATGCCCAAAAATTTTGTAACATCTGAGAGCATAATTTCTGCATTATTGACATTTATTTTACAATTCTGGGTAATTTGATTTCTGGAGTAGAACTGAAGGCAAACGGTTTTATTTGAATTAACAATTAAAGAATTTCTATAACACCATGATGTAAACTCATTAGATAAAACATTTAATTTACTAATTAATTCATCTACTGATTGTGTGTTGGTGGCAATTGTTGTGTCATCTGCACATAAAATTATGTTTTCTGAGTTAATATGATTAGGCATATCATTTATGTAGCATAGAAAAATTAGAGGTCCTAAAATTGATCCCTGAGGCACACCCATATTAACACGTTCTAGTTCAGATTTACAATTTCCGACTTTGACATAGAACTGTCTGTTATTTATATAAGATGACAACCAAGACAAAAACTTACCTCTAAAATCAAGCACTTCCAATTTTTGAATAGCAACATCTAAGTTGATTGAATCAAACGCCTTTGATAAATCAAAGAAAAGCACACCCACAAACAACTTTTGATCGATAGAAGTATTTATGAATTAAAAAGATCTATTGATTAATCCATTTTAATTTTTGCATATTATTTCATATTTTTTAAGAAATATTAGCATTTTTTTGTGGACACACTTTTCAAAGATTTTGCTTAAGATTGTAGGCACTGTAATAGGTTTACAATTATCAATTAAATTATTATCACCTCTTTTAAAGATAGGAGTTACATATCCTACTTTCAGATAATCTGGGAAAATACCTAGCTGAATAGACTGATTGATTAAGTCTGCTAGAATTTGAGAGATGTGATGACATATGTTTTATTATCTTTGTGGAAATGCAGCCAATGCCCATAGAGTTAACATTATTTAATGAGTGAATAACTTCAATTACATCACGATGATCAACAGGAGAGAAGTAAAAGGTCTGAGAGACACATGATGCAGTAAAATTTTTAAAATTCAAATCATTGAAATGCTTGTAGTACTTTTTTGTGGAGGTGGCAAAATGCTCTGCAAAAACTTTAGCTATTTGTTTTGGTTCAATAATTGACAGTCCTCCTACTTCAATTTGTTTAATTTGAGAACCTTTTGATGTTTTACCATCTTGGTGATTTACCTGTTTCCATTTATATTTTTGTTTTTGCTGAAAAGTTTTATTGTGCAATCCCTATGAGATCTTTTTGCTCCATTTATATTATTGACATATTGTCACTTTGCTTCTTTGTATCTAATATGTATATCCACATCATTAGAATTTGTTACTAACCAAAATAAATTCCTTATATCAGCTCCCATCCTCAAAATATCTGGAGTTATCCAGTTATTTTTTTTATTTGTCTTTACAGCTCTTGTAAAAACCGGACAATTTACTTCTATATAGCAATTTAGAATATTTAAGAATGTTTCATAGGCAAGATTTATGTTATCAAAATATTCAAGACACCACCATGATCCTTATCAGTCCTATTAAAGAATGCGGCCTGATGGTATCCATCAAAACAAAATATAATATTATCATCATGACACCAGGTCTCTGAAAGGCATAAGATATCTGGCGATTTTTGATTTATAATTAATTCAATCCGGTTAGTTTTATTTGTTAATGACTGTACATTTACATTTATTATCCTAAACTTAACATTCACATCATAATTGTTCACAATTTTACCATTTATGTTTTTAGTTGGAGATCTGTGCTGAAAGAAAAATCCTCAATACTATCATTATTAACTAAAGTTTCATTCTCATCCAAATTGTTATATGTCTGATTACAGTCTGACATTCGACTACTGGTTTTAATAAAAATTAAATTTGATGCAGGTTTTTTAGGAGAGTCTATTTGTTTTTTTAATATGCAGGATATTTGATTGTTGTTTAATTTATTAGTGTTATTGTAGTTAGTGTTTAAAAAAATAGCAGATCTTTCGTGATAACTATTAAAGACTTCCAAAAAACTAAATAACTTATTATTAAATTTGGAGACTTGTTGGGCACATTCTTTATTAGGACTGGAAGCAGATAAAAATAGGAAATTTGTTTGTGTACAACTTTTTAATTTGTAATTTATATTCTTAATACTAGGGTACCGTTTATTGAAAAAGTCATAAGTCATAATGGTTTGTATTTTACCCAATTACTAACTGAAACTCTTGGCAAAACTGTATGAAAATGTTAGATTAGAAACATTAAAATCTAATTAATTTTCTCAGAAAATAATAGGTTAATCTGCATTTTTTTAGAAATCTGTTGAATAGAGTAGGTAATCATTAGTGTTTATTACTTTTTTCAAATTCCAATGTACCTAAAGCGTATCAAACCCAAGTTTGGTTTATAAATTCTGCCCTAATCTATGTGAAATGTTTTATTTTGAATTATCCGAATATATTAAATATACATACGATTTGTACTGCTATTTTAAATACTGTTGAGGTAGGGAATATTCTGTTATTTTCTAAGAATATTTTCCAAAGATCTTTTCCAAATTTTTCCATAACAATAAATCTATATTTTTCACCATTGTATTCATGCGATCCTGATCCTAGATACAAAGGCATTCCAAAGGTTTTTAATCCTTTTTTCTTCTTAAAAGCATCAACTAAAATACATTTCTTAATTTCTAGTCTGATTAATTATAAATAAACGTACCATCTTCTGGTTTTGCATTTCTCATATAAAAGTGCATTTCAACAAAGAGTGGCCCATTAGCATGTGGTTCCTAGAGTATTAAAATACACAATTTAACTTTTTATGCTTTTATCAAAAGATTCAAGTTTTACTCACTATTTTTATAACATAAGGATACTGCAACCCTTTGGATGCGGCTTCTTTGGCAGAATAAATTTCCCCGAAGCCTCCTTGGCCAATAGAGGGTCCTAATTTCCATTCTTTTTTAGATACATCTTTTAGGACTTCTCCTAGAGGCAATGGTTCTGCTAATTTATATCCATTTGCAGCTTTTCTTTTTTTAACTACCGTTGCTTTAGGCATTCTAAAATTAAATTGAAGTATAACCAGAACTATGTTAAAAATTAACAAAAAAGAATAAGGGACCGAATTAATTTTACGTGCTTTTACTTTTTGATTTTTAACGGAAAAGAAAAGTCGACGAAATCTAAATAAATGCATGCATAAATGCGCATGCTTTCCAGCAGCTGACAGTCTGACATTGACAGCCATAGATGGAACGTTGCCAAATTGCTGACTATTATCTTGGAATCTACCTACGTTAATCTACGACGAAGTTTTTTGTTATTTTTTATGCTTGGAAGAGAAATAAATAAAATTAAAAATAATAAAAAAAGAAACCAAGAAAAAATATACCGAGGAAAATGTAATAGTATTTTACTAAGGACCGGTTCCACCACAAAGCACATAGAGGTTCCACGTGAATGACCAAGGTCAAAACCGACAACTGACATTTTTTATGCTATTTGCTCCAAACTCTAGATGGGGCTACTGGTGAAATTATGATTTCTTACTCCATTTTTAAGCCTTATGGGAGAAAAACTTAACCAAAGCAAAGAGTATAGTTAACACAAGAGATCGCACTGAAATGTCAATCGATCTAAAAGTCTGTGACCTTGAAAATTTAAAATATTTTACGCGGGTAAATGTATCTAATTTAATATAACCTAGCTTTCTGATCATTTCTCTTTTTGGTTCAAACATTTAATTATGATCTAATTTTGTTATAGATCTGTATTTTTTTAATACAAATTACATCATGAAGGTTTGTGCAGTGAAAAACTGCAAAAATACTAATCAAGTCTTTAGATGTCATTTTTCTGATGTGACAACAACCAACGCTCCGATTGGTGATGCCAGACTTGTCAAAAATATTCCAGACCAATAGGGAGGAGGCATCGACGTCAACATTATTTTAAAACCAAAAAACATAAATTTTGTAATAACCATACTCATTTTGTCTTCAAGTGGCTTAAAATCTGAATATTTTTTCCTTTTCGATGTCATTTTTCTTCATGTCACAGCAACCAACGTGCTGATTGGTGACCCCAGACTTGTCAAAAATACCCCAGACCAATAGGGAAGAGGTGCCGAGGTCATTGAGATTTGAGCCAGAGTTTAACACGGGAAGTATAGGGAGTAACAGGCCTGTGACCAAAGAGTAAAGACTCCAAAGATGTGACGTGTATTTATTTATGTTCTTGGTTAGTTTCATTTTTCCGTCTGATTTTAGTGATTTTTTGTTGGCTTTGGCTTTTGGTTTCTGTTTATAGTTTCGTCTTAGTTATTTGCAAAATTGTGATGTTTCGCTTTTTTATTTCCTACTGTGTTTTGCAATAATTTTGGTGCTACGTTGAAAACTTAGAGAAAAACTTCATTAATTCACCATATATTCACCATGCATCTGCATCATAAAAAGACAAACGGGGACAACAACTAATTGATAATCAATTTATCACTGGACTAGATTCCGAAATCATTTTTCACATAAGAGAGTAATACCACCATCTGTATTTGGAAGGAAAATACCTATTTATCATTGAATGAAGGATTCACCTTTTAATACAATACCTATATTACATTTGTCCTCAGTTAAAAAGACATTTATAAAATATATAACTTTAGTGTTAATAAAATGTAATATCCTAGTCTCTACTTCACATTTAAATTATTGATAGGTACCTATTTTAAAGATTTGAGATTATATACCTATCTATTTGCTCCAAGTAAGTATTCGTTAAATATGTATTATTATTTGTATTTATTTTTATCTAATAATATTTATTTAAGATATTAATAAACATATTTTAAGAATGTTCTATTTTATTATTTATTGATATATCTTATATTTATTTAATAATAATATGCAGAACCAACTCTCCACATTAGACCCCTTATAACAAATTAATTCTTCAAATTTGGTATAATCGACCTAAATTATTTTGTAAAATAAAAGTTTCGAACTTACTAGTTCCATACTTTATTTTATAAAATAATTTATGTGGAAATCATTTAAAACTACTACCTACTCCTAAAAATTACAATTTGAATTTACCGCCATCTGTCAATTGTCATTTTAGTTCCAGCTCCAAACACAAGGTGGCGCTAATTTGGTTTAAAAGTTTAACATTGGCGTGGGGTCTCTAGAAGATACATGCTTTGTGGGTTCCACCGTTGTGTTAAACGAAGTTTAAAATGACATTTTTACATTAACGCAATGTCATTTTAATCTCCGTTTAACACATGTTTAACACAACGATGGAATCGGCCCTGACCGAAAAGTAGTGTTTTATAGGTCGAGACAAGTAAATTCTACGGCAAGCCGTAAGCCGTAGGCGAGACCTGTTTAACACTAATTTTCGGTGACGTAACGTTAATTTTTTTTCACTTCGATGTTAACTCAATTATTTATTTTATCTAGGACCGATTCCACCGTTGTGTTAAACGAAGTTTAAAGTGACAATTTTACATTAACAATGTCATTTTAATCTCCGTTTAACACAACGGTGGAATCGGCCCTTACTATAAGGACCGATTCCACTGTGTTAAACGAAGTTTAAAATGATACTTTTACATTAACAAGGTCATTTTAATCTCCGTTTAACACAACGGTGGAATCAGTCCTTAGGGCCTATTCCACTAACACTATAAAATAGTATACAAACCTCGGTAGGAAGTTTCATTTCTGTCTTGAGATCAAAGCTAACCTCGACGCTTCGCGTCTCGGTGTACTCGGTGATCTAACTCACAATATATAATGTAACTGGGATTCAAGAAATGGCTTTGAGTTACGCTGCGGCCAGACACAGGTCTCATGGCGCTAGTATCGTTATTGATTTTTGACTTCGGCACGTTCATTGGTTGACGACGAATTCAAAACAATCTGATCGGAGCGTTACTCACTCCCACTCCTTCTCTTTGTTTAGATACTTATAAAAGAAAGAGATACCAGTTAATAATTTCTATTTTGAATCATCTTTCATTCTTTAGCGTTGAGTTTTTATAAGTGAAGCGTGAAGTGTCAGTGTTGACAAGTGATAATTTTTTGATTTTTTCTTCTACGAAATTTAATATTAATTTTGTTTCAGCGATATTTATTGTGATTTGTGTTGTTGTATTAAGTGCTTTCTTATTTAATATGAGAAACAAAACGTACAACAAACTCAGAAAAAGAGGAATCGAGGAGGGATTGCTATCTATGGCTGTCATCCAAGGGTCTGCGCCCCTAGATAATACTTTTCCAGTGGGAAAAGCCTTTTTAAATTCAAGTATAACAATTTTATGTTTCCGTTTTCCCTTCTTTTAATGTAGGTGCCAATTTTGAGGTAAGTTTGTAATAATTTTTCAGTTAATACCTACCCTCTTAATATTATAATTTAACTATGATCTTATGCTTTCCTATGGACACGATTCAAGGAGGGAGTCCTATGGCTGTCATCCAAGCCCTAGATAATAGTTTTCCAGTGGCAACAGCCTTTAAAATTCAAGTATAATAATTTACTTTTTTCGAAGTAGATGTCCATTTAAACTAAATTTTTTTATTTCACTTATTGATTTTAGCTTTTATATACAGTATCGGCTAATGAACACTTTCTAATACGCTTGGCTAGAATCGAAAATAAAACTAAAGAGTTAGCGCATTAGTTCGATCAGGAAACGAATAATATGAATGTTGCCTTGTGTGCTGTGTAATATGAACAGGCACACGGTGTGATGCATCCTCACGTAGCCGGCTGGCTACGTTCATAGTATTCTATTCCTTCTCCCACTAATGCTAACTCTTTGTAGTTTTTACTTGGACATTAGCAAAACGTATTGTACAACATTCGATAGCTGCCACTGTATTATCACAAACATCTCTTAATAACTAAATGATTTCATTTAATAGTTTCTTTTTTTTTTCAGTAAAATGGATATGGCTAGAGTTATCTTCGTCTTTAAAATATATTAAATAAGTTTTATAATTTTTCAAATAAAATACTTTATACAATTTTTTGTTTTTTTACCAGAGCCAATTTTTTTTCAGATCTAACCTCTATAGGTAAAAAATAAGTGATTTAGGTAAAATTGAAAAGTATATTACATGTTCTTTTAAATGTGTTGTTAATCCAAATGCTGCTCTTATTGTAATAGCTAATAATAAAAGAATTAGTATTATTTTTAGCTATCAAAATAAAAATAGCGCCTGGATTTACAGCTCGTTTAATCGAACATGCAATATACTTCTCAATAATTATTGCCGAATGAATATATTTAAAAATTCCCGCCATTCCGCGGCTGAAAATTTACAATTTTGGCGGGAAATTTAAATTTCGCCTTTAAATTATATTTGAATTTACCGCCATATCGAGTTAGTTGAGCGGCCAGAGACACAGACGCATTCTTGCGCTGCAAACTTAGTGCCAACTCTTTAACAAGTGAGATGCACTACTATAGGGGATATATTGTGATCTAACTATAATCTCACGACAGGAATGAAACTCTTCCCATCTCGGTGTGTAATATACTATTACCGGTCCCTAACGTCTACTTTCTGGTCTTGATCGGTAAAACGTTATTTCCTGGACGAAAAATTGTTCAGAAAGTGTATATTTTCTGGTCGGTCTTAAAAAAAGCTTTTACCGGTCCCTAACGTCTACTTTCCGTTCTTGATCGGCAAAACGTTATTTTTTAGATGAAAATTTGTTCAGAAACTGTAATTTCTGGTCGGTCTTAAAAAAAGTACCTATTTAATATTTCAAACAAAATGATAGGCTGCAAGCATTGATATGGCAAACCTGTGGGCATGTTGAATTTGTGATATAGCCTTGTTATATAGATTGTTCATCCATGTTTTTTAAAATAAACATATTAAGCCTTAAAGTAAAAATGTAAGTAATTATTTTTTTACTGTATTCAAAGGTTGAAAATTTGTTTTAGTACACATTTTTGCTAAATCTACTCTGATTAATTAGCACTTGTGATGCAATATGGCCGCTAGCAAATGGACCAGCTTAGAGCAATCTATATAACTATATATAACATTGACCCTGTCAAAGCTTGCAGGCAGAGTTGCCGTTCGTAGCGACTTGTCGCGAAAATAGCAACATTTTAATGATTTGTGAGAATAGCAGCGATTTATTCTAAATTAGTCGAAAATAGCGACTTTTTGATTCTTAATACATTAATTACCAGAGTGTCATAAAATAACAATACGTTATTAGTTATATGGGTGATTTTAATCGAAGCTATATGTGGTTGCAACGACGCTCTTAAAGTTAATTCTATAATTAGAATTAAATTCTGCATTCCAAAATATATATTTTACAATTTTATTGACCTATGCCATGTTTGAATATCCATATTGGATGCATTTTTTACATCTCGTACGTTTGTTTATTCATATCGGACACATCTACATCTGCGTTTGTTTATCCCAGATGTAGCTGTGTCATCTAGATTACATTTTTTTCATCTCGATTTGAAATGAGATGTGAATGATATGTTCGTTCCATGCCAGAAAGTAGAGGTGTTCTCTGTGAAGCCAATATTATTGAGTTATCCTTTATTTAAGCTAGCGTGAATATCAAAGTGATTAGTGTGTTTAATTTTTGTTTAGAAATATAAATTTAGATTGTTTTCTAGTCTCAAAAGTCAAATTTAAAGAATATAAACTTCTACCTTGTTATTGTCATTTTATCACGTGCCCAATAAAGTATAGATCCTTTGTTTATTACATCTACATTCAGATCTAATTCACTATCCCGTGATAAAAAATTCACTACAAGTAGGTATATTATCGCGTTTGAATATCCACATCCAATGCATTTTGTACATCTTAAGCGTTTGTTTATTCACATCGGACACATCTACTACATCTACAACTGCATTTGTTTATCCGAGATGTACCCACAAAGCACGATGTACCTGTCCAGATTACATTTTTTACATCTCGATTTGAAATGAGATGTTCGTTCCATGTCAGAAAATAAGTGTTCTGTGAAGTCAAGTTTGTCAATTTATCCTTTGTTGCTAGGATGAATATAAGAGTGATTATTTCCCAGACAACACACCAAATCCCAAAGATATCCACAGAATATATATTCTGTAGATATCCAATATTGATATCTAACCAAATATCCGTCTATATCCCAGGATATAGAAAAAGTCGGATATTTTATATGTATCTTTAGTAGAGGTTCATAAGTAACCAATGATTATTGAATAAAGTCGAAAGAAAATAACAGAGATAAAAAATATTTTCAACACTCTGCCTTTGATTTTGCCCACTGAGGAGAAAGTTATCCTTATTAGGACTCTTCAGCAATAAATGGAAATTCTCGACTCCAGTCTCTAATGGAGTCTTATTGTGAAACAAATTTCGATCGAACTCAATTACGGCGGGTTGAGCATCAGTAGATGCGAAAGTAGTATCGCCATCTATACTTAGTAAGCAAAATAAAAAATTTCATCTAGTGGATATCCACGATGGTTTGCGTTCGCGCTTAGACTTTGATATATTTAGTGGATGTCCATGGGATATTGAATACACCTTAAAAAAATTAATTTTAAATATCTGAACGGTACTATTAGCCACAATGGCTTAATAATTTGCTATATAATTACTATTATTTATGGACATTTGCATGTCTATAAATTACAGCTCATGGATATAAAATAGATATCCACCATGGACTGGACATTCAGTGGATATTGGGATGTTCAGTAGATATCCAAAGGATTTGGTGTGCTGTCTGGGTTTATTTAATTTTTATTTAGATTTCAACTTGAGATTGGTTTGTAGTCTCAAAAGTCAAATTTTAAAAACTATAAACTTCTAACTTGCCATTGTCATTTGCTGCGTTTGAGAATCCACATCGGATGCATCTGAGATGTAGTAAATCTTTGATCACGTGATTCAGTGTACGTAAATGTAATGGGACAGATGTGTCAGATGTGGATAAAAAAATGCTCGAGATGTAAAAAATGCATCCGATGTGGATTGTCAAACGCGGCAATTGTATCACGTGACCAATAAAGTCTAGAGCGTTTGTTTATTATTCTACATTCGTTCCGATTTAATTCTTTATCACGTGATAAAAAATTCACATCTCAGATGCATCCGATGTGGATTCTCAAACGAGGCATAAATTTACTCACGAATCAGATTCAGACTGATTAATAATATATATCATATTTTTCTTTAATTTATTGGTATTTAAAAAATTATATTTTTAGTTTTGGCTATACAACACATATTGGTGTATGAATAATTGCATATTTCATGAGACTTGATAAAAGTACCGACAATGGCTGATGTCGGTGGGGCAACACGGCAACACTGCACAGGCAGCAATTTTGACAGCTGGTTGGAATTCCTAACTGTTGTGATTTTTTACTTTTTACTACTTTGCTTATTAAAATTCTTATGATGTATTATTATTAAGTTTTTTAAGAAAAAATACTGCAATTTAAAATGCAGCTGACTTACTGACGTAATAATTAATCCTCAGACAAAACCAATCCATCGCTCGCCTAACTCGCGTGGCACACCTGTTCATTTTGTTTATTATTTTTATTAAGAGTTTTAATTCGTGCAATGACTTCGAAAGGGAAGCTCAACATTGATGAGGTGAGTTTACAATTAAGTTTAATAATCTAGTAATGCATGTTACCAATGCAAAAGTTGTGCCAAAACTAATTGTTAGGATCTCTCGTTTATATAAAAAAAAATGATAAGATAAAGATGTGTTATCTTGACTATTATTATAATTTTTAAAAGCCACGCCTATTATATTTATTTGTTTATTTGGCTCCGATATGTGTTTAAATTCACTTCCTTATAATTTCAACAGGTTAACTTATACCTATACTTTTCAGGATTAGAATTATTTTAAAGATTTTATAGTTTATGTTCTTTTAAAAAAATATATAACTTTTTATTATTATAGTGAATGCATTTTTATAAACTTCCCTCTAGTTAGGTATTTTATATTCTTATTTAAATTGATTTACCTACGTATTTATTGTTATTTTTTTACTGGGGTGTGTCAGTATTCTGTATTTTTATGACTAATTTTTTAATTTCAAATTAAAAAGTGAGGTTAAATATGATTCATCGATTAGTAATGCTTCAGGTCAACAACTTTCTTTTCACAATTTTTAATTATTCTAATATAACTAATATGTATAATTTGAGCTCTTTTCGATTACGGAAAAGTAAGCATACGTACTTGTAGGTATTGTAAACAAAAAATCTAAGTTCTGTAACTTGCTCAAATTAATAATAAAGACGTAAATAATTTTTTAAATAAAAATATGCCGCTTTTTCAATGAATATTATCAATTTAACTGGAAAGGAAATGACTAATTTTTGCAAAGTAATACAAAATAAAAGTAGTAGAAATTAAAACTATAGGTTTGTTTTGGTTCACGTTCTAGAATTGTTCCAGAACCATGCGCAGAACTATTGCGCAATGGTCCTTAATTCTGAACAGTTCTGTAACCATTCCATTGTATTCGAAACCAAAACACTGCCAGAACAGTTAAATGTCAAAAAGTAAATTATAAATAAGAAAGAAGAAATAACACAGGGTCAGTGTCTAAGCAAGAAAGAGGCCACATAATATTATAAAACGTAGATAAATTAAATAATTTATTCGTAACAATCTTATGACTCAACATCAACTACTCCATTCTCATTAGTCATTTGAAAATTCCTTGTAAAAATTCCAACACAAAACATGACCAGAATCTCAAAAACAAATCTAATTGCAAAAAAGCGCATGCGCAAACATATCGATTCTGAAACAGTTCTCGCTTTAGGCCAGAACCGACGTTACTGTTCGAGAATGGTTATGGAACCATTCCCAAGAAAAACCAAAACACAGAACTTGCAGGTTCGGAACAGTTCTGGCGAAACTAAAACAGCAAATATCTACTGCACATGATCCAAAGGTTCTGGAAGAGTTCTAGAACAGTTACGTAAGTGAACCAAAACAAAGCTTATTTGTCGTGTTTACAATACTCATATCCCACGTGGGTAAAATAAAAAATTCATCTAAAATGGACCATTTACTTACTTTTATGACAGCCTAATGATCAGTATGCCAAACACGGCGATGGCATTGTTTTGTGGTTCTGTATCTGTAAGGTGGGGGAGAGGGTGAGTTGCTCCACAGCACTTAGGTATCATTATATCCATTGTGCATCCTCCACGGGCTTATAGGCGTTGCTGAGAGCAGGTGTCTACATAATAGTGGGGGAGGGATGTGTTGGAAAGCTTCATCTGGTTATTTATGCATTATACACCGAGAAAAAGTAATGGGGTGTAAATGTATCCCACCGAGTCCTTGAGAAAATAGAAAAGCAGTCGGCAAAATATGTCATTATCTGACGGTCTATATCATAGATAAATTAATAAAGAAGATAGTCGGATTCTGTGTTAAATTTTGGAAAGTCTAGTGCTGCCTGCGAATTAGTATGGAACGGATTCTTTTTAAACTACACTGGCTGATTGACTTGCCAGTTAAAGGCTGAATAAGAAAGAGAAGAATAAAAAAGAGCAGTTCGTTCCAATATTTATTTATTTATTTTCATCAAAATATTGTATTTAACATAAATATTAGTTTTTTTAAGTAATAAAACCGGCTAAGGACGATATTAGAGACAGTAATTTTGTCACTTTTTCCATAAAGATTAAGTAAAACCATAATATTTTTACACTTTTTAATCTTCTATAAGTGTGCACTAACCTAATTAAAGTAACAAATATTATTAAAACACATTTGTAAGCTAAAAAATTAAGAATATGCATTTATTCACTACATTCTCACGTAGCCATATTGTTCTTAATTTTTTCGATTTGACAGTCACACTAAGAGCGCCTGTGCATGATTTTAGCGATGTTGCCAATTGCTTTTATTATTTGTTCTAAATAAATATATTCATGGTAATACCGTTCTATATTATTTTTTGTTTATGAATAATATGACAACTGACATTTTTATTTCTATAAATGTGGTGTTGTCAAACATAGTAAAAGAACGTACACAACAGGAATGACAGTGGCTGTTTTTTCAATAGCTCCAGGCCAGATGATAAAACCCGAATAGAAATGTGTTTATTTGAGACTTTTCATTTCAATTATTCAATTTGAGCTGTGTCCAGGCCGTTGGAGTCTATGCCGGTCAGCGTAGCCAGGCATGGGTTGATGTTTTTTGGTGGCGGCGAAGCCGCCACCACGATAAGTCGTTGCTTCGTTTACGCGTTGCATATTTATGGACCGGTATGCGCAATAATAATTTTCCATTAACTACTAATTGTATCACAATCCGGCAACGTTGCAATTATATTTTCCAAATTTGACAGAAACCATCGAGTTTCGATGTTTACAGTCGTCAAAATGCTGATTTTTATAGAAATTAAATAATTTTTTTTTTGGTTTAAATAATGCATTTACCGCATTTTTTTTTTATTTGATAAAAAATAAATTTCTTTAAGATTCCACTGTTCCTAAAGTCGTCCGGACCCAATAAAACCTGAAAAATATTTACATTAAAATACAATATTTGAAACATATTTTAATTATTTATTATATAGTGATAGGTACCTACATAGTAATGAGCTCAATATTAAAATAAGTGAAATGAATAGTAGTTGGTTCTCCCAAATTCTTGGACCATATTTTGTTGGGCCTCAGGTATTTCTTATAAAAACAAAATAAAAAGTTTGCATAGGTCTTATTAAACAGTTTTTCTTATCAAATATTAATAAAATACAGCTTTTCTCTTCAGGACTCAAATTTCTGACTCTTTTATTTATTTATTTGTTACGAAACAGTTTTTCTTCGTTTGTAGAGTCATTCACTAATATTAAATGTTTGCAACTAGTTTCTTGTTTTTGGTTGTGGTTTAGCAAATTTATCTTATGCTGCTGTGTTGGTGCTTCAGCCTCAACATATTCTAAGATTTGACTGCACAATTATCTAATGAAACTGGTACAGAATGTCCAACTAGCAGTTTTCGTTTTGAGGAAACTTTACAAAAGACACTGGCAAAAAATGGTCTTCACAAAGATAGCGAGTATTATTATCTAAAGTTAAATTTAAATACTTAAACCAGTTCTGACGAATTTTAATATCAGAAGGAAAGTGAAAAAATGTATTTGATCATCCAACTTGCTTAATTTTAAAGTAATACTTATTTAAACAATTAGGAGCTGAACAAGAATATTCTCGGGCCAGACATTTTTTGATTCAATTATTAAAATAGAATTGAAAATCGATGAAATATGAAATTTTATGAGCCTAAGAAATCAATGATAAACAAATCTAAACACCTCTAATGTTAAATAAATTAAATTACTATTACTTAATAATTACATCAAATCAACACTGTTTATCTTCTTAAAAATAATTTACCTATCTATGGAACTTACATCATAATTCATAATATAAGGGTTATTTTATCAATTCATTATCATATTTGGCATTCCGCCATCATGGTTTTTCATTTTTTACGAGGTTGTCAACTTCTTTTAAAAATCCCAGAAATTGTATGGATGGTATGGTGCGCATGTAGATTGATAAAAAATTATAATTTGCTTAATTAAAAAACCGACTTCAAAATCGTGCAGATGCCCTTAAAAATTGAGAGTTTTAATTTTTCCATAGATCATCAGACCTGACCAATTGTATATGGAACTACCTCTGAGGTATCCCCGTTCTAACAAAAAAAGAATCATAGAAATCGGACAACGTGATAAAGAATTATTGCTAAAAATACATAAAAAATTAAGAGATTAAGATTAATATACTACACAATAAATATAACTCCTCGAATATGCACTACCACTACCAAATTGTAAGGCACAAACATGAACACCTACTCGTATATCAGAAAAGAGCAATTATACAAAAAAGTGTTTATAAAATATAAAATAATTATCGTAAATAATTAAAGCGATACAAATCTAACTTCGTCGAAAGTTAGTTTTCAACTGTCTTTGTGCCTGTGCTGACAATATTCAATCTGTAACCCGTCTGTCGTTTATTTACTTGAAACATATTTTACAACCATTAAACACAGATAACGAAGTCATTAAGGAATAAATATATTCATTTCTTGAAAACTATCAAAGACGTATATTTAACGCATCATCTTTATTTAAATAAATATGTTGACAAACAAATTTAATAAACAAACAAATACCTAATAAATAATTATTTGGTATTTGATACGCCGCCTATGCTGACTCTGTCGGAATTTTCATTCATAGACAACAGTGTGCATATGACTCACCTTCTCCAATATATTGTCAGAGTGTAGAACGTGTTAACAGTGACGTGCATTTAAAAAATGAATTTTCTTTTATTAATTTATTTATGGTCTATACACTCTTTACAGTTTAACACCCCAATTTTGAATCATTTTTTTTTAGAATTAATATGCTTCATCCCTTTATAGATCTTGATTTTTACTAAACATTTCAATTTGAATATCGTTTTTGATTTGTAATTTTAATTTTTTTTTTAATTTTAACCCTCTCATTTTTAATTAGCTTTTTTCAAAATCAATAGACTTCGTTCCTTTATGAAGCTTGATTTTCCTGATTTTTCAACTTCATATCATT